TATTTGGGTTAGTGCCACTTTTGGGTTACTGGAAAGTTGACGGGAAAAGATTTGTGTTGAAAATAGTTGCGGCAGGAACCACTGAGGATTAAAACTCAGGTTTGTAAGAGATCCTTTGCAACTGCATATATAGCTAACCACCGTTATATTATACATGTATTTCTATAAGAATTTTCAGAAATTGTTGTCATATAGTCAGGTAATGCTCTAGTTGATGTAAAAATTCTAGTTGTTTTTTGAGTCCTTTGACACCAGTTTGGTGTAGTGGTTAAGTGCGCGGACTCTGATCTGGGAGAACCCGGTTTGATTCCCCACTCCTCCACTTGCACCTGGCTGGATGACCTTGGGCAAGTCGTAGCTCTGATAAGAGCTGTTCTTGAAAAAGAGCAGTTTCTGTCAAGAGATCTCTCAGCCCCACCCACCGCACAGGGTGTCTGTTATGGAGAGGGGAAGGGGAAGGAGTTTGTAAGCCGCTCTGAGACACCTTTCGGTAGTGAAGGGCAGGGAATAAATCCAATCGCTTCTCGTCTCTTCTACAAAAGCCTTCCAGCATAGGAATTAGGAGTTGCTCCTTGTGGGTATGAACCCAAATGGTATTCTGTTTGTGTGTGTACCTTGAATTCAAACAATGTGTATCTGTCAGCAGGAGTCCTTTTGGCAGGAAAAAAAAAATGCATTTGTGACTTTTGACAGCACTTGCTTGCATTTGGTTTTGCTTTACTGGTTTCTGGCCCCAGTCATACAGGCCGAATATCGCGGGGGGGAGGCGTAGCTAATTGCCCTGGCGCAGCTTGATGCGCAATTACACGATCAGACGCACCGGCGGCACACCACGGGTCCTTCCCTCGGTGCCAGTGGGTAAAAGGGAGACCGGAGGGGAATGCCGCGCGCCGGCATGATCACACCACGGGCATCTGGAGGCAGCCCGTGGCAAACATTTACTAGTACCTTGGAGGTACTAGTTTTTTAAGGCACATTGTCAGCGGTAAGCCACGGGTGCGCTCCACTTCCCAGATGTTGGGGTGTGATCGCGCCCGGATAATCCGCCCACCATCCGTGCCTCTCCCGCGGCAACTTTGCCGTGTGGCTGGGGCCAATGTTAGTTGGAGGCATTATCTTTACTGTTTTGTTTTCATTTTATTAGACATGAATGTCAATAAAATACATTTTGTAATCAGGGCTGGGGGGAAACATTTAAACATTTTAGGTCCCAGCATCCTTTTTTTCTTGGCTAGTGTAGAAGTCCAGCTATGGAATGTTTTCCAGCCTTGTTCTTTGTCACTTGTGGTGGTACTTATTTGGTTTGTTTGTTTATTACACTTTTATACTGCCATGGATCATCCATGGAAGAAACTCAAGGTGGTGTGTGTGGGATTCTTGGAAGGTTTCCAATCCAGACACTGACCAGACCCAGATCTGTTCAGGTCAGGTTTGCTGTATCGTGTGCCCTCCAACCATATCATGGTCACAGAGTGACCATGCATGTAGTTTCATCTCAAAGCAAACTACATGAACCAGAAGTAGCTCCCTGTGGCGTGGGGGCAGTTCTTCACATTTTCTTCTTCCCATGCCTCTACATATCACTGAACTAACTGTATTTGCTAGTTCATTTACAAAATTTATGCACTGACATTCTATACAAATAAATATTTTACAGAAAGCTGTAAAACCAAGTACAGTTTAAAACCCAAAGCCAGTTCCAGATAAAAATAAATATTTTTAGTGATAGTCTCAAATTCAACATACCAGTTTCAGAGCTATCAAATGTTCTTGGATGCAAGCTCCGTTGATCTCAGCAGCATTTACTTCCCTGTAAATATGTTTAGGACTGCTGTCTTTAAGTCCATAAGGTCAAAGTAATGGATCATTCAGAGCTGCCGGTGGCTCAAGTGGTTAAGACGCTGAACTGTAGGCTGTGGAAGGTCGGTAGTTCAACCTAGCAGTTCGAAAGCCAGAAATTGCAAGTAGATAAATAGGTACCACTTCAGTGGGAAGGTAACAGCATTCCGTGTGCCTTGGTGT